GCAAGTTGTATCATCAGGAGCAGGGGAGGGGAGCGGGGGCAAGCAGCGAAGCCTGGAACCGAGTTTCTATGATCGCCCTAGTTAAGAAATTTGGCCGAGCGAGACTAAGTACTGGTTTGTGGAAAACAAACATGGCGGACTTCCATGAGCGGGATGCGTTTGTAAAGTTTTGTAAACTTCCTGCATATTTCACGTTCCAACATCTAAGAAAAAGTTCCAGTTGCCCTACTTCTAAATCTTGGACATTTTGATCGAGGTATTGGGGATAAATATTCCAACGTAAACCTGCGAGCGGAAACTCCACAGTGTGAGCCAGATTGCAGGCATGAATATTTCATTCGAGCATTTTTTGTAACGGTCTCCTATCAACGGGATAAACTGAAGTATCGCTATATTTCCGCACTCCCTGATGGTAAGGGTTGCTTTTTTTGAACAGCTTAACAGCTTCGTGACCCTTTTTGTTTGCACTTAACTAACAGGGTTTAATCAGGTTTCATAGTGAGTGTAGTAAGTACGGCACTTTTCTGTTACGTTACTACAAGAGGTCTGTTTCAGTTTCCGGCAAAGCATCTGGCATTATTTATGAAAGTGAATACTGGATAGTTCCCTCGGCNTCTCCAAACAATGTTGATTTTTCTATTTCTTAGACTGCACAGACCACAGGGCCTACACAACATTGAATTGGGGGGTCGGGGGTATCAGAGAATTAACGCTAGATGCAAATTAAATAGAATAAGTCAGGGGGGGCAAGCAGCGAGACCTGGAACCGTGTTTCTATGATCGCTCCAGTTAAGAAATTTGGCCGAGCGAGACTAAGTACTGGTTTGTGAAAAACAAACATGGCGGACTTCCGTGAGCGGGATGCGTTTTTAAAGTTTTGTAAACGTCGCGCATATTTCACTTTCAAACATCTAAGAAAAAGTTCCAGTTGTCCTACTTCTAAATCTTGGACATTTTGATCGAGGCATCGGGGATAAATATTCCAACGTGAACCTGCGAGCAGGAACTCCACAATGTGAGCCAGTGCAGGCATGAATATTTCATTCGAGCATTTTTTGTAATGGTGTCCTATCAACGGAATAAACTGAAGTATTTCTATATTTCCGGACTCCCTGGTGGTAAGGGTTGCTTTTTTGTAAACAGCTTAACAGCTTCGTGACCCTTTTTGTTTGCATTTAACTAACAGGGTTAAAGTAGGTTTCATAGTGAGTGGAGTGAGTACGGCGCTTTTCTGTTACGTTACTACAAGAGGTCTGTTTCAGTTTCAGGCAAAGCATCTGGCATGATATTATTTATGAAAGCGAATACTGGATAGGTCCCTCGGCAGAATTGAGAATTCATCACCATCTCTTTGGTTACAACACAATAGTTGTGTCGTTGATTGTTTTTGTTTCTTCATAATCATCCTTAGACTTTTGATTTGATATTCTTGACTTAACGGCTTAAGAATGGCTGACTGTTAGGATCGAGAAACGCCCGTTGGTGGAAAGAATACAAAGGCGACGACAATCTCTCTTTTACAATAGGACTTTGTTTGTCTACAGGACAACAGAAAAAATTGAAACAAGTTTTCTCAACTGAGACGTGTATTCCTTTAGTAAGTCTATGTTTTTGCCTCTAACTCCATGATGATATTAAAGTGGCTACGACACGAAGCCACAGTGGCTACGACAGATGTATAAATTTGAAACTTTTTAATCACGGTCCTGTCGTTTGATCTTCAAAATCTGATCTGAAAATTAAATGAAGCACTTGAATACTGACAGAAATATTTGCCTCTGTTAGTTAGCACAGCTCGAGGTAGTTTATCACACAAATCTTCCTACTCATTTGGACGATACTGTTACTCAGGTCTAAAATTGAAATTCATATCTTGAAAACCAAATTATTCTCGGTTTCGCACTTTTCTGGTTGCAACACGAGTTTGTTATTTCTACTGAAATATTCTTAAAACACAACAAAATTAGCAGCTTGACTAAGTGGCAAAAGAGCAAAAATTGAACTTCAACAATCTATCTATCCAGATATGCGCATACTTAAAGTGTCAACAATCCATTATGGGATTTCCTCTGCCTTCACAAAAACAAATTTTTAAAACAAATTAAAATAGATCTTTCTGTCATAATTTTATTGCTGTCAGAAAAGGCTGGAAGGGAAATATAATTAGCGATTTTAATAAATATTTCCTTACTTCTTAAGGTCAATTTTTAAAAAAAAAACAAGTAATAAGATAGTTAATTAACTGTAAATAACATTGTAAACTTACCGCTTCCCTTTAGCTTGGTGGAAAGAACACAAAGGCGACGACAGTCTCTCTTTTACAATAGGACTTTGTTTGTCTACAGGATAACAGAAAAAACTGAAACTAGCTTTCTCAACCGAGACATGTATTTCTTTAGTAAGTCTATGTTTTTGCCTCTAACTCCATGCTGATATTGAAGATTTAACAGGATGCGACAGATGTACAAAATTGAAATATACCGACAAAGGTAACCTCCCTAAAGAGAATGAAATTCACAGACGCAGAAAGATAAAGATGCCTTAAAATTCACAGAAAATCATAAACAAGCGAAACTGGAAATAACTGGAAGTCATGGATCTCAAAGGACATTCAAAACTGAAAGTTTAGATCACTGGCAAAGATAAACGCAGAACTTGCACTGAGTCAGAGACAAAAGCAAACGCGGAAACGGAAGGTGACTAACGACAATGCACAAAGCTGTAGGTCACACAACTCTAGAAAAAACTGCAGGGCGCCCAACTCTAGACCATACACGAAAGCAAGAATACATGCACACCTGCCAATATGAGGCTATGACAGTACAAAACTGACAGTCACAATCAAATTGAAAACAAATAAGAAAACCACAGACGAAGATCAGCGTGCATGAAACTGAAAGTCACCGAGTGTTGCAGTCTAAAGAATACTTTTCTTGCCCTGAACATTAAAGTTATTCCTTGATACAATTCTGCAATCTACATTTAAACTTTAATGTGTATAGTTATGAACGCATGCATATGGCTTATACTTACTAATGTAAACTAGAGATGTGACAATCCAACTTCACCCACTTTAGCAACAAGGCTATTCCCCTGAAACGGACAATGATGCGTTAGTGCTAAGTTCTAATGAATATTCAAAAACATTTAATGCACAATAAAGAGGATAGTGGCGAATAGAGGCTATCTAGGTTAAGTTTACTGTTCTTGCCGTTACTTGAGAAGTCAGACAAAATCAAAGTGTAATCCAGTTCACTCTGGATCAATAAAAAATAACCTCCTTTGAAAGGAAAATGAATTATGAGAGGGTTTGAACCATCTCAATGCACACTAACATGAAAACTAGAGAATAACTTTGAAACACTAATAAGTGTTCTTTTCTCCACTGTATAGCTATGCACGCAGAATTCCGTCCAGACCTAAACTTTTCTACGATTAGGATCTTGGATTTCTTACTAGGATTGGTTAGTTAGGTGTTACCAGTTATTATACTGTTGTATTGCAGTAAGCTAGATTGATTGACATAATAAAGTTATCAAATTATTAGAAATGAAATTTGTATAGTAATATATATACAAACCCATCGTCACTCCCTCAACTTGTTCCTTATTGAAAATGTTCGTTTCTCTTAGTGGCACTGAGATGTGTCGTCAAAGGATATTATTTGGTGTCAAGTTCGATCGGCCATTTGCGGAGTAGTGTCCAGGCCACGTCCCAGCCTTGCCTCGCTTTCGTTCGCAGGGTTTACTGGGGGCGTATCGCCTGGTCCAGTCATCCTTGCGTTCGTTGTTTACGCCCATTTCGCTCGCTTTCTCTGCTCGCAAAGGGGGATTGGTCTGAAAAATTTCCTTTGCTCCTTTGTTTATTGGTATTGTACGGTTGTACGTTTAGTTTTAATTCACATTTTTGTCCGCACTTTATCGAAACACCACTGCAGGATAGAACCAAAGTTTGTTGACTAAATTCATTTGTGAGTTCATGCGTTGCCATTGATGGACAGTATCGACTAACTTACCCTGTTCCTGTCCGAAAACCGCTCCTTTATTTTATCTTCGTGTGAAAGGAAACCTCATGTTGGGATTCGCTCTTTGTCCCTTTACAACGACTGATTGTCATTTCGCACTTTCCGTAGTTGTGCTGTAATCTTCCTGAGTGCAAACTTCTACTTTTACTTTTGTTTCACGAGGCAGAGTGAAAGACCGAATTCCCCCCGTTCCCCACCTCCCTTAGCTTGAGAAACCTGTGAAGATGACATGATCAAGGGTTACTCTCGTCGACGTACAGAATAGGTCTGATAAAAAGGCCTAGTTTCAATACACAAAACTTTACACTGAAGCTATCGTGTATTTTCCATTTAATCATTTTGGCATGATTATGGAGTACTGTACGAAATAGGACCAAGAAAACTTACCGTATATTTATTGTTTATGAATGGCAGTCTTCGATTTTCACAAGGAACTGAAATTGCTGATGTGTATCAGTAAATGCCCTCATTTTTCGAATCCTTTCCCAAAGAGACACACCGTACCATGATTCTTAAAAAGCCGGATTAACATTTGATGTGCACTCGGAGTGTGAATTCCCTGGATTCATAACCAATTCTCGGACTTGAGTAAAGAAAAACAAAATTCATATTTGAATTCAAGAATTCGGATTTTGTTGGATTTCATAAATATAAGTATCAGAGTATCATTAAAAACTGAAAGATAAGAGCAATGGTACGGTATTCATCTTTGTTAACATACTTTAAACAGATGAAAACTAAAAGAATGTTAATAATTTAACTAACCTTCAAATTAATCATTCATGCACATGAAGAGACAAAAGTCTTGAACCACCTTCTGTTTGCATCGCTTAACTTTTTTTCCCGTGCTTAAATATCTTTCTTCCCGTGGCAAAAGATGACGCAAAAGTGTCTTAGCACACTGCAGTTCAAATTGCCCGAAGAACAATCATTGAAAATTAATTAACTGCGAATATAGGTAAGTGGAAATTAAATGAAAAAAAGTCGTTTTGAACTTTGCGACCAAATGCGCTCGGGCAGTGTTCGAGCGCGCAATTATCTTTTAGAATGATTACGTTTTCCACCTTTGTGACAATTCAGTAGCCTAGGTAACAGTTTGATGAATCAAGAAGAGCTTTGTCAAGTTCGCTGTACTTCACTGCAGACGAGATAATATTTGTATTTCTAAGCTACCTAAACTGAGCGAAAATGGCACAGAGACGACGATTAAAGAGAGCTCGGCAACACGAGGAGGCGCGCCGGCCACTCCCAGCTGCCAGGTAAAATTTGAAGAAACTTTTCCAACGTTTGCGAGTTGAGTACGACTTAGCCAATGTTGACTTCCCCTGCAGAATTTACCGACGCAGTTCACCGTTCCTATAACCCGAGGCAACATTCTATCAAAGTGATTCGCTAAGGCTCGATTTCAACAATAATTCATCAAGTTTGAACAAATGAAATCATAACCGGACATAGACTCAATTTTACGATTTTATTTCTCCGTTTGCTCCTTTGGTTAATTAATTAGTTTCCATTGAATAGGTACATCAAGAAATCGAGACATTGTCTTATCACATTCCCATACACCGCGAAGTTCGACAAAAAAATACTTTCATCTCGGTGTTTGGAAATGTGGTAAAACACGGTCTCCCATCTTTGATATATTACGTCAAGTTTTATAGGTACACTATTAAAAGGTTCGAGGGCGTAATTGAAAGATTTTTTAAAAATAAAATGTAAACTTAAAATTCGCAAATCATACTTTAACTGAATGCAAATTCTAGAACTGAAAGTGTGAAAAAGATAATGTTTGTTCACAACTGCTTGAAAACTAAGTAATAGTTAGAACAGACCGGAATATAATTATTTTAGTGCAAATATTATTGGCCCCTGTAAATTAAACTGATTACATTTTCTCGTTTGAATTTCGCTCATGCAACGTTTGTGCAAGCATGTTTTTTTCGCTAATATTATTATTGCTTCGTCGACTTAAGGTTACAGTATACCTTCGGGTCGGCAATTTTCTTCAAATTTGGATTTTTGGGTCAAAATAGTGGTCGAAGAATAATCTCTAATTTCTGAAA